TCAATGATATTAAATTGAAGCGGAATAAATATTTCTTAAAATTATTGAAGTATACTTCGAGTTTTCGACTAAAATCGTCCATGTAGGAATTAAAATGTCGGCCAACTAGCTTAGTGTCTAGCGGGAACTAATTGTAGACAAACGCTAGTTAAGTACGAGTATAGTGGTGTTCTTAAGGGGACATAACTTGAGTGCGAAGCTAGAAATTCGTGATTTTGGCAATGACGGATATTCCATAATTATTCAAGTATACACTGTAACAAAAAAATCCGTGAAAAAATGTAAAAAAAATCCGGAAACAAAAATTTACCAGGACAATTTTATCCGTATTTGTTTTTCCTGTAATTTACAGAAATTCCTTCAATTAAGACAACGGAATATCCTAATCGGGATACCAGAGCAAGGTATCACAAACCGCTACTGGACCGTTAGAGGCTTTCAGAGATAATTTGCGGTACTATCAATTTGCAGGTATGTAAACTCTGCCATAGAGACAAACCGGCTTACACTGGCCAATCGGTTATACTATCCGGATTTAAGCGTGTTTGATTATAACCAGTTAATACATCCTATACACACAGAGCGTTAAAACATATTTTTATACATTTATAAAAATACTTACAATCTGAATAACGTATGATGAATAGCAATACACTTTATAGATCTTATAAATAATGGAAATTAGATATACATGACATGTTATATACCAAAGTTTACAAAATATGATTTTTCATATTATGGTTAATAAATCCTATAACATGATAATTACTAGGAATGATTATATATGTATACGATTACTTATCGTTGCATTTGCAAACAGAAATAATCCGTAAATTCCTGGTCATTCCACCGTTCATCCCGTAAAATAACAGAATTAAGTCCATTATAGAATGGAATAAAATATTTTATCCTTAAATTTCACGGAAATTCCCGGTTATTCCACCGTTTATTCCGTAAAATAACAGAATTAAGTCCATTATAGAAGGGAATAAAACATTTTATTCCAAAATTTCACGGAAATTTCCTGTTTGATACTGAATATTCCATAGAAATACATAAAACACGTAATTTCAAGAAATAATTCACACTTTTAACACAATTTCTCCCCCAAAAAAGGCCATCGATTAACAGAAAAAAATTGTTAAACTACGGAATTCGGCCACATGAAAATTGGATATTTTTACAGTGTACAGCCAAGTGTATGTAAAATAGAGCCTTTGAATACCGATTTAAGGTAAGACACTTAGTTAAGCGGAAAAATTAAGTATTTTTACTCAACTTTAAGGAAACCTTTGAATACGGACCCTATTTATACAAAGACACTACTCACTGAGTTACCGGCCCTTGCCGTAAGAGACAAATGTCCCAACTGTTACTTTGTCTGAACACTTGAGTAGTCAAGTCAAGTTCGCGCACAAGTTCACGATCTGTTGAAATGTCGCAAACAGCGTGGAACGGGAAAGTAAACCCTTTGCAAATACATTTCTGAAGGGGTTAAGAGGAAATGGTTCATCTCGAAGATATTGACCAATATTGTACCTGGTGTAAATAACGAAACTTTTAATGCAATACATGTAGATCGAAAAAGGTTTGCGACTGACATAAACTTTGATAATGAACGGGCCAGAGAAAATCTTGGATGCTAGAATGGAGGATTATCTGGCATTAGTCCTCGGCTATTAAAGTGTTCGACATGAAAGTATCTGAATCTGAATCTAGAAGGTATAGTAATAGCATATTATATGTATATCAGTATTTGAAGAAAAACGTTGATATGGGTCACACACGTGCATGCGTCACGCGTGACTTGTGTTTAGCTGTGGTCGATTGATTAGGATGTATTAAATGTCTGTTTGTCTTTATTAATAATTTTGGGTGAGCCTGTTCGGCTTTGTTGTTCCGCAATATAATTATAACATAGAGCATCCACCAAAGGTTGTCTTATTTATTTCTACTGTGCAGACAAAGTAATGAATGTTTTCTTCAATAATTTGGGCGAGTCGTGCTCAACCTTGTTGTTTCGCGATCTAACATGGAGCACAAAATAAGGTTGTCTTAATTTATTTCAACTGTGTCGGCAAGAAGTAAAGCAAATGTTTTCTTTAATAATTAGGGTGAAACTGTTCAGCCTTGTTGTTCCGCAGTCTAACATGGGACATACAATAAGATTGTTTTAATTTATTTCTACTGTGTCGGCAAGAAGTAAACTGAATGTTTTTCTTTAATAATTTTAGGAGAGACTGTTCAGCCTTGTTGTTCCCCAATCTAACAGGGAACATACGCTAAGGTTGACCTCTTTTTTAGTATTTAAAAGGGCTTTACCTGTGTGCAGGCAAGTAGTAAAGCTAATGTTTTCTTGAATAATTTTGGGTGAACCTGTTCAGCCTTGTTGTTTCGCAATCTAACATGGACAGAAACTAAGGTTGTTTTAATTTAATTTAGAGTGAAACTGTTCAACCTTGTTGTTCCGCAATCTAACATAGGAATACACTAAGGTTGTTTTAATTTATTTATACTGTGTCCACAAGTAGTAAAGTGAATGTTTTTCTTTAATAACTTTGAGTGAGGCTGTTCAGCCTTATTATTCCACAATCTAACATGGAACATACGCTAAGAGGGCTTATCTCTGCGCAAGCAAAGTTAAGAGGTATACCTGTGTGGAAGCAAATTAAGGGGGCTTACCTGTGTGAAAGCAAATTAAGGGGGCTTACCTGTGTGGAAGAAAATTAAAGGGGGCTTACCTGTGTGAAAGTTGTGGAAACAAAGTTTAGATGGCTTGAGTGGAAGCAATTTAAGGGGAGCATTGTTTAGATGGCTGACCTGTGTGGAAGCAAATTAAATGGGGCTTACCTGTGTGGAAGCGAATTAAAAGGCTTATCTGTGTGGAAGCATAGTTTAGATGGCTTCCCTGTCACGTTGAGGCAAAGTAAGTGGGCTTACCTGTGTGGAAGCATAGTTTAGTTGGCTTACCTGTGTGGAAGCAAAAGGAGGCTTTGTGTGGAAGCAAAAGGAGGCTTACCTGTATGGAAGCAAAATTAGGCTTACCTGTGTGGAAGCAGATTGGAAGTATAGATTAGTTGGCTTACTTGTGTGGGAGGGGGCTTACCTGTGTAGAAGCAGATTAAGGGGCTTACCTGTGTGGAAGCATAGTTTTTAAGGGGGCTTACCTGTGTGAAATAAAAGAAAGGTTGCAAAGCAATTTGGGATTTGGGTAGCCATGTATAATAGCCATTATAACCTTTTTAATCTGGGGCATTAAATTTAGCTAGAATCATAGGGGTTAAATTATCGGGACTGAAACCACGAAGATATTCAAAAAAGGGAACAGAATGTATAAAAGTTCAAAGCCTTATGTACGGAATAATTGACCGAGATTACCAAAAATGGGTTAAACGGGAAAAATATGTGGTGGGATGGAGTGTGTTGTGGGGCGAAGTGTGTTGTGGGGTGAAGTGTGTTATGGGGCGAAGTGAGTTGTGAGTTGAGTTAGTATTGGATGTTCATATTGTTTTTATTGTCTTAGTTTTGATATTCGTAAAATGATTCCGGAGCAGAAGCACTGTGCCTGCAATACTTAAATCTATAGGCAAGACGGTAATTCAGTGGAAAGTATATTAATCTAAGTATTAAACTATTAAGAGTATAACATATATTTTATAATCTAAATGCTTGATAATAAAAACATTGTAGAGGATGATGACCTCTTGTATATTACTTGGAAATGAAGCCATTTGATGACTTTAAAAGGAAACGGATAAGTTTTATCAGAAAAGTTTTCAATTTTCAGTATGGATATGAATATCAAGAACAGTTGCCTTTTGGATTGTATTAGAAATTGTAATTAAGCTTAAAGCGCGACATTTCGTACACTCAGAGGTAATAACCCATGAAGTAACTGTCAGATACTTGCAATATCGACAAGATCTTTGGGATATAAACATGTATTTTAAGTTTCGTCACAATCTGATAATAATTAATGTGACCCGGGGCGGACAGACGCGACGACATAATATGTAAATATATACATGTTACAGTCAATGTCTACAATCAGGCAATGTGTACAATGCCTTTGTAACCCTAACCCCCCACCCCTACCCTTACCCTAAGCCTAACCCGGCAATGTACACATTGACTGGTATATTTCAGGCATTGTACACATTGCCTGATTGTAGACATTAACTGTCACATACACAAGCATAAAAGATTCCCCTTTCTTGTTGGACACAGTGTTTTTAAAGGTTATCCGATTGACATTTTGAAATATCAAGCTATGCCCGAGTTACGGAGTGGTATTGTAAGGACATCACACATAATTTAGCAGAAAATTGCAGATTTCTTTTCTCCGAGCTTAAACCACACATTTATAACCTACATCCCAGTAACAAACAATATTCCCGTTACCCTGCCCCCCCCCACCCCGGTGAGTGTATTGTTATTAAGATTACGCGCCACAGTGTAAGAAGCGCTTCCTGATATAACAAGCATCGGAAACGCTTGGTTAATAGTCCCAATCAATTTAAAAAAACCCCCCAAAAACGCGAAAACCCAAAGCAGAAAAAAAAACAGTCTTTGGCAACATTTTTAAAATAAATGTTTTTTGAAGTTGCTCTGGAGATATTGATGAAAATATCAATTATGTGAAATCGAACTCGAAATGTGCAATGATATACAATTACTATTTTCGCTGCATTAATATAAAACTTAAATGATTTATTCCAATCGCGTTGCTCACAGCTGTTGCTAGTTTTTCTTTCAACGTATTCTGTAAGCGATAATAGATTCCGGGTTAATTACATTAGAATTAGACTCAAGGATTGTTATATTTATCGTTTAATGGTTCTACTTGTATTTTCAGCTTTAACTGCAGTAGGTCCAGATAGTAATCTATACAATCTACGCTTTATACACATGTTATTGATAAATTCCTGTCTATTTTTTGGGTTCCGAGCAATATATCAATTCTGTAATGTGTGTTGTTTGGTTTTATAGTTTGTAAGCTTTTGTGAGAAGCAATTTATCAACGAGTCCAATAATTGTACGAACGATCGTTCTGTTATACGATCGTATACTAGCATATATATATATATACACATGCGTTATTGTAAATCAACGAGTCAGGTCTGGAGTTACTGTTAATATTGGCCAACTGGTAGCTGGCAGTGAAGAAATTGCCGCTAGTATTGTCATCGAGCACTCAAGTGTAGTATAGGAGAGCCATTGAGCATCGAGTGCCGCGTCGGTTAACATCCGAGACTCACTACTGTTTGATTATGGAGTCAGTTGTCGCAGCACAGGATTTCTTTTACAACAAATTTATGATAATTAACGATAATTTGTACACAGAAAACCTTTCGCCAATTGTCTGATGAAAATGTCACACTTCGAATTTCAAATGATCGGTAGCCCAAGCCGTCTTTGTGCGTAATCCCTAAGTAGAATATTACCAGAGACAAAAAAATCGCAGTGGATTACGCTACGTGAGAGTCGTTGGCAATGGTTATTAATAATATTATATAAATTACACCAGTAGAATTGATACATGATGAAAATCAGGAAGAAACGTCTACTTCTAAACATAGTTTTTTTTTCAAGTGATAGGAGGTTTTCTTATTTAGTCGCAAAATAATTTTCCATAAAATGTTGATATTAAATCGAACTAATCTTCAATCGGATTAAGATTAATGAAATAGACGTTATCTTGGATCATAATGCACAGTTAAAAGTGGATACTACTTTATTATTATTGTGATATATAGGGCCTAGTGAACAGAACGTTACTAAAATGGAATTACCTCAATATATGAAATTAAGTTTTCAAAGTTTATCGACACTTGCCATATTCATATTTACATTACGAACGGGTAAGTTTATGTTTTTTATGCTTGCTTTATATTTATCTGTAAATTGTTCATAAAAATATGCAATTATCCCAATTTATGCATATATTCAAATTATATAATTAGAACATACATTCATTAGTCTACATTTCATGGTTTATTCTAAGCGTATTGCCCTACATAATATTTGGTGTCACAAACGACTTATTTCTTTAAATTCTAAGTCTAAAAAGGACAGTAGTAATAAATTGTGTATAAAAAGGTACAACGAACAAAAAGCAGCAAACTTTCCTAAGCAGGTGAAAAAATTGATTTCAATGATAATGAATGATTTAATCGAGACACCAAACTTCGAAAAACAAGTTTAAACTATAGTTTAATTGTATTCAAATACACAAAAAGAAATGGTGTTTAATTTTATACACCTTGTAAACGAAACGAAAAATTGTCCTATCCGTACCAATTGGTCGAGAATTTATAACTCAACTCCCAAAACCTTCTAGATTTCTCCTCCATAGAGTTTATAGGAATTCATTGTCATGACATTACAGTGGAATGGGGCAGACGAATGTCCATGCTTTTTAAAAGTTTGATTCAAGATACGAAGTGGTTCTAACGAGTGTATTTTATTTTCTCTGAGTGAAATTATGCTTGCCACTCGCCTCGAATAATTTGCACAATATCTTTCTAGATCAAAATGCGATATTCATTTTTAAGTCTATCTATATATGTACGATATAAAATATGGTAAGTATATGGATTTTGATGTGGACAGAACTCAAGAAAAGAAAAAGCAAGCAAAAGAAAGTGTAAGGACGCTTTTGGTTGTCAATGATCCGAATCTAGGATCTTTATCCAGTATCGGATCATAATCAAGCAGTGTCACGAATCTGGATTTGATTATATGGAAGCCTGTGAATATCAACCATTTTAAAGAGTCCTTAAATAACAAAGTGGATTCTGAATCTGTAAACAATTTAGATCCGGATTCGTGGCAATGAAACACGCCCGTAAAGAAACAAGTACACAGTTGTCCATAAATCTGGAAAAAAGTCGTGACAGCATAATATTTTAATTTTCAATTTTGAAATATACATTCTTTTCTTAAAATGTAACTGGATTAAGCGGGTTCTTTGAGAGGTGGAACTCAGAGATTTGCTCTGAATGAAAGCCTTACGTATTATTGCAAGTAAATACATAAAAAAACCCCAACAAGTATAGATTTCCATTCAATGTAAAGAAAGCAAACAGAAAAACAAATTGTATATATAAATTAGTATAGATTTTAGATATAAGTAAATCACAACACCGGATATTCGTGTATTAAAGTGACACTGGTTGATTATAGATATACATGTCAAACAATAGGTAAATTGAACATTCTCTATTATGTATACATTGACAAAATTAATGTCGCCACTCCTGACCGGTTCACATCTGCTAATGAACTCTCTTCAAGATTAAATTTGTCCAATGACGCCACTAAATTTGTAACGCGATAGATTTTTAAAAATAGATATGATATCCTTTTCATCCCTGTCGACAATTCTGAAGATCCAATACTGTGATATTCTAGTGTCGTCTCTTTGAATTTTCCCCCGCATGCTCGATGTCCAATTGTTTTAGGCAGCAAAGAATTTATACCATTTAGAGGATAATAAAATAGAAATTGACATCGTAATAGTGAAGTGGTACCATGTGTTAAATCATAGGTGTAGAAGTGTCGTTGACTGGAATAAAGTTGGTATAATCCTCTCCAATTTGTTGAGATTCGTGTTTATTTATTATGACTTACAGTATTTGAGATCTTTCTCAACCCTTTTTGTACGAAATGATTTTGTTCTTTCCGTCTTTGAGATATTGAGGTTACTATGTTATTATATTCAGTACAAAACACCATAAAATACTTTATAAATGAACTACACTAACATATGAGAAGTTGCATTAAATATTCTGGAAGAGATAGGTATAAAACGATGCTTCAAACGACTACAGTCACTGCTTATAACTACATGGTAACCTCAAGATAGTGATAATCACCCAAATTCACCAGATGAGTGGTTTAGGTACAAAAGCACAGCATAGTGCTCAGTCACATATACCACATTCTAAACTCCCACTTTATCATACCACAGTAATAACTGTACCGTTTGTACAATGGTGGGATTTACCGTCAATATTTAGTCGAAATTATGCCGTTGGTTGTTATTGCAAGTCGCTTTTCAATGGCTTGAATCAATAGGTCAGGTCAGTAAGTGACTTGTTTAAGATGTCAATCATTTTGGAAAATTCAGCCAAAGATTCAATTTCTGCTTTTGGGTACAGTCTATGAACAAAATTCGATCAAATGTGTATATTATTATGAGACAATTGGTATATTCTACCAGCCATTAATGAAAAAATATCTGAATGGGTTGTAGTAATAACCAAACTTTATACATTCATGTATTAATACACTTTCAACAACTGGGAGTGGATAATTAAATGCGTTCACCTGAAACATTTTAATTAAAAACACTGGTATAGATATATACAACGGCTCATTTCATATAAAATTCTCGGAATTTGGCCGTCCTAAATTGAGTACGCTTATTAATTAAGACACAACAGTGTGTCCTAGAGTAAGTTTTTACCGTGCTTTCATCATCCCATTCCAGAATAGATTGACACGACGGGATTTCCATCGGGGTCTACGATTATTCTTTGCCATCTGTAGGCGGATTTCTGGTCGTCATTTTTCTGTTAGATATTTTAAGAAACCTACTGTGATGGGTTTATGCAAAATAATAAAAGCTCCCATTTAAAATCTACTAATATACATTCCTCTATTTTGTCGAATTTTGACACTGCTTAAGATCGACCGTCCTTGATCATAGCTATAAATTTATATTTGCCGAATTCGTCCATTGGACATTATTAACTTCTGACCATTGGTTAGGGTCGATTTTTTTTATTATATCTATCACACCAATCAATATGAACCTTTGTTTAGGTCGAGATACCCTGTTAGCGACAAATTCATGATCTTTATCTGAAAATGAATTTGACTTTCTAACACATGACTGGCGGAATAAACGTGGACTCTCTGTGGTGAGAAGGGTGTTTCTACCAATACGTGCAAAGTTTTATCAAAAATATTCCCCACCCTAGCCTATCCTTATCGGATACTTGTCCCATCCACACAACATACCAGGATTGATTTTTATGTTTAGATAAATCTGGTAATTGATAGTATCAGGCAGATATATATATATATATATACGTGAAGATTCTGAACGATCGCCCATTTTCTGCCTAGTATTTAAATGGCTAAGCTGTGACTAACAGCACATCTCTGTGTAATACTTCATGGAATAAAATAGCACTTATAGACGCGCAATTAAAGAATATCATTTATATCAATTTATCTGAACCGCGAAATCCTCTGTTGAGTAAGATCTGTCACGATTTCTTGAGTCGTCTTTTGAAACGTTTATCGTTTTTTAAAAATTATATAACGTTTATCGAGGACTTTAGAAATGCACTATTCACAAATTTCACCCCGAAAATTTTGGGATTTATTTTTCTTCTACAGTATGTTTCGATCTTCAATATCCTGGAGTCCAGCCACACCAAATATAATTATATTACTACGCGCATATAGATGATATATAATAACGGTATACTACTTCCTTTCATCTGCGTAGTACTATTGTAGCCAGGCTCGTAACTAAGGGGGGGGGGGGGCACAGGGAGGGCGAAGTCTACCCTACTGACAATCTTTTTATGATGAAAATAGTGTTTAATTCATTTCTGTTGGATTCCTGTGCATCTGTGCATATAGCAGAAAACATTATATTAAATGATAACAATTGAAAATGTCAATTAAGTGATCTGTTATTGATACAGTACACATTGTTACATCAAGACTTATTAGATATTGTACATTGCATTCCATTTTTTCAAAAAAAAAAAATAAAAAAAATAAATAAAATGCATTTCATTCCCATTATGTATTTTCATTGACTTTATACAATACATTCAAATGTGGCATTCATTTTATTGATCACAATTCAATTTCTGCATGTCATGCATTTTATTGCATTTCTACCTATGGTGTAGTTTATTGATATTTCTGGCTCCTATTCTGATTCTGGTGTAGTCTATCCTTATGTTAATTCTGACCGTGATGCAGTTTATTCTGATTGTGGTGCAGCTTATTCTTTGCAATATGACTGCCTGCCCCCATACTCCAGGCAGTGTTTCGTTTGATTAGAACTAATCCCACTAAACACTGCTTTAATGGAAGCAAATTTCTGCTCCATATTATGACTAGTCAATAGTCCGATTAACAACCAATAGCTAACTGCGTAACAATTGGATTACGCTTTAAAGCTAGAATTTCATATTTTCTAAGAAAGTCAAAACATAATTATTTCTATGTCTTTTGCTCAATAGGTTATCAACTCACTATTATACGATCATAGGTGTCATTCTCACACTTAAAACTCATTTACACACGAAATAACAACACAATTACCTCCCTTGTTTTCCTATTGAAAACAATGGTCAGCCATTTCCTCAACGTTGGAATTTGAAGTTGAAAATGATATTTTTGCCAATTTCTCAGCTGGCAATAGTAAATTATAGGATTAATAGGATTATTCTTTAACAAGGTAGGACTGTTTATGGATACCATCTATTTTAAGGCTTTACTTTAATAAATTTTAAAAATATAACTTAAAAATTTGAAATTTCCGCTTTAAATATAGCTCCACATTGGACCAAATATGTTTACATAACGTTACGTCATGACTCACGATATTATTATGCCCAATTAACCAGTGCATAGCAGAATACTGCAAAAAAATTAATTCCGTGACAAACGAGGCTATCAACATTGATACAATGTACACAATACTGTATGGAGACGAACAAGACTTTCACCGTTTTTAATCACTGCCCAAAGTTTAGGGAAGACCCCAGATAAAACGAAGAGGTGTCATGTTGCTGTACTTGGGATAGATTTGATTGAACGGGAAGAA